TTTCCCGAAAAAAATTGATTGAAAGTAAGTGTTCTAATAACCAATCAAATTTTATCACATATAACCCGAATCTGACCTGAACCTGACCCGATGAATTTCAGGTTGGGTTCGGGTCAGGTTCGGGTTGATGATCGACCCGAACCAACCCATTCGGAACACTACACCCGCCATTTGAGATTGTCAGGTCCGAGATAGACAATTCCGAGATGTGCAAATCCGAGGTGAAGACACGGTTAAGGCATGTTGAAGGTATGATGAAGGTACATTGAAGGTATGATGAAGATATGATGATTTTTTTTTTCTTATAAAAACGTATGGAAGTTGAAATTAGGATCGTCTAAATTTTTGTAATGTGGGCCGATGATCAATTGCAGTTACTAAGAAAAACCAAAAATACCGAGTACCATAACATTCCCGGCAGTAGCAGGGTAGACTTTTGGAATAGCATAGCAAATTCAATCAACGAACGATGCATCGGAAAAATAATATCATCATGTTATATGGGTGATCGCCTGCCAAGATGTGTATTGGTTCAGATCAATCTCAATACATTTTCAGTATGAATTATTTATTGGTATAAAGTAAATCATATATAGACATTGTATAAATAAGTCATGTTAGACCTGTGAGTTTTTTGGCAATTCTTTAACGGACACACAACTGTATAATAATTATCTTATCATTACAAAATAGTGATATTTTGAAATACATATGATAATTCGTGCATATACTTACTGCCCATTTTATTAGAGCTTCATACATAAAAACGAAATTAGGCATATCTACCCAATCTTTTGGAAGACAAAAACGGTCCACTTCGAACAAACGATATGTTCATGATGATCGCATAAAATTGAATTAGTTAGGCCTATATATGACATCACCATGAAATATTGCAGATTACATACCATGAAAATCAAGCATTGTAAGGGAGAGTTCGGTTTTACAAGCAGTTACGCCATATACTCGAAGGCCTGTGTATACTTGTCTTCGTTCTGAAGCCACTGTTACAATTATATAGTTAAACAGCTGAATCATGCTTTTGATGTTCTTCTTATCGTCGTTAACATTTTTGTCATTCCTCGCCCCTAGTCTTGCCCCTTCCATGCAAACGATTTGGTAGTTTGAGATCATTAAGGTATCCAACACCATCTGCCATGACTTTTGTAATTATGCAGTAAAGTGCCTGCCACTTGACTACATCAGTATTAAAAGACCCCTTCCTCCACTCTACTGGTACAGCGAAAACAATGCAATTCTCCTTCCAGTCACAGATCATGAAGAAGCCATTAATCTCATCAAAAGAGAGAAATAAAGGCAGTTTCAACTTACGATATATAATTAACACTTGCAAAAATCCACAATGCATTATCAATTAACGGATGTATAAATTGGTTGAGATGAGGTCTTTCTAACATCGTGACATCTTTCAATGGGTTTGGTGCATCTAAAGAGAAGGCCTTTATACTATACGTAATAGTGTATTAATAATTTTGTAAAATGAGATACTCTAAAACTTCTTACTTACAATCGTCCCAATGTTCCCTTAAGTAGTTCTTTTGTATCTTGCAGTAATTCCGAGTCTTTTTCATTAATGACTATTCTCCGAACTGATTCGTGCCATCCTTGTCTATTTCGTCGAAAACTTCATGTAGAATTTTATCTTGCAATTCTTGATCTAAGGAAAGGGATAGTTCTG